AATACAAGGAACAGCATTTTCTTTACTCTCCCAAGCAAAACAAAATTATAAATGGGAGAGGTGAAGGGTTGCATTGGCCTGCCTATACTCTGTTCCTTTTTTTCCAAATCTCTTGAAAGTATTATGACAAACCAATGAATTGTCAGAACTGATTCCTGTTCTTTCGTAAACCTAATATGTTGTTCCACTGTAGTGCATAGAGAGTTTTGGAAAGTAACAGAATCTAATCTTTGAAATTGGGAGTCAGTAGTCAGTTGGAATACCATCAACTGCATATGGATGACTGTGTCAAGATTTTCACAGGAAAGAAGCGTGTGAGGAAGGAGATTGGGAAACTGGTTGTCAGGTTAGTGTGAACCAAGATTAAAATGCATAATTAAAGGGTTGAAAACATTTTCAACAAGAGAAAAAGTGCTGGTCTTCTCTAGGAGAGGTAGATTTTTATCATAAATAGGATGGTTGTGCTAAAAGGTTTGTTCTGTTTTGAGAGTTTCAGCGATTCTGGCTTTTATCAAGTAAAACATACAAGCCTGTACTTAACTTTATGCACATTGACCTAAGTGGGGATTAATAAGTAGGAGAGAGAGATGTACCCAGACACATTTATATAAAGCTCAATAATTCTATTAAATACATCTTCCTTTGTTAACAAAGATAGCCTGTAGTAGTATCAGGAGATCCCTTCCTCAGATGGTGCTAGATAGGTAGTTATGCTATTATGTCTAGATGAGAAAAAGTGTAATTGAGTCTTTATACAAAGATTCACAGATATTGATAGGACTTGCTGTCATTTGGACCAACTAAAGGGGACAAAAAACAGAAATGTAATTGTTGGTTTTAAGGGCCATTAGAGCCAGTGTGGGGAAGTTTAACCTAAGGGCATCTAGGGATGCCCCTAGTTGTACAATTTAGATGTGTAAGTTACAAACCATATTGACAAATACATTCTGACAATGAACAGGAGCTAGTTACTTATGTTGGCTAATTCCTGCTTGCTGTACAGTGGATACAGTGTAAATCTTATGCAGTGTTGTGTCATTTGGTAAAGCAAATAAGTTGGTTCTATAGTTTATGTAACAATTAGATAATTGTCCTTTCATGTAGATCTGATTTAAATATGTTGGGCAAGCCTTCCCCCCCCCACCTTTTATTCTTGTGAGGGAAGCATTCTCCAAAGGATTTCTGTTCTATACATTACACTGATGGGTGGAAAGGGTGATTCAGAAAAAGAAACAGTTTGCAGCTGGCATGGATTGGTTGCAGATTACTTTGTCCCCCGCCTGCCTAGGGGACAGAGGGAAAACCAAGGCAATCATTGTAACTCCTTTTTCGCTCTATGAAGCAGCTCTGCTTCAGACTATCCATTATTCGTACAGATTGTGAACTGCCTGTCACTTTTAGTGTACAGTCATTTGGGACATTAGAAGGAAGTTAAATTGTGTTAACAATGGCCACCAGATCCAACTTAGTTCACTCAGGTGCAGACCTTACACTTAGATTCCTAGTTAGGTCTATCTGTGTGTGACCTGTATAGAAGTTCAGGACAGTTCGATCAGTCTAAATATGGCCAACCTGATCTAAGTTAAATTACCACAGAGGTAGGGTTAACTGGGATTGGATCAGCCATTTTTAGATAAAGCTAACTGTCCTGAACTTCTGTATAGTTCCCCATGCAGCCCTAGGGCTGGGAAAGCACAGTTGCTGGCCCAGTTCTGGGGCTGTGCATTTCCTACCGACCTTCCTGGTACCAGGCTATTTTTAACGCCCCCGGCCCCTCTCCCAACCCCCAGATGGACAACCTCCCTCCCCCCCACCCCACGAACCTTGCCTGCCCCCCCAGTCCCTGTCATGGACCCTGCCTGTGTCACCAATCCTCCTGATCCCCCCCTGCAGACCCTGCCTGCCCCTCTAATCCCTCTTGGACCCCGCTTGCCCCCTGATCCTCCCCCCACCCCGGGCTGGTACCTGGAGACAGGTGATTAAGTGAAAATACCAACTTTCACTTCAAAAAAGGGGAGGAGGGGACAAAATGTAGGTCTCATGGTTGTGGAGAAAAGCTTGAAAGCATGCACTGAGCAGTGACAAAAGCCTGAGAAACCAAAAGACAAATGAGGAGAACCCATTTTTTATTCTTATTTCTAAATATTTCATCTTTTTAATCCCATCTCATGATTTATAAATGCTTAATGTTGGCAGTAGTGTTAACACTAGAGTTAGGTAGCATTTTAGTAGGAAAACAAAGCTTAGTGATTGTAAAATAGAAATCCAAAGTTCAGGCACTGTGCTGATTAAACATGATATAAAAACCAAGAAAGATATCGCCAACAAGTAGTGCTTGTCTTTTGCAGTTTAAAAATCTGTAGTGTTTGTTAGCACTGCAGCTTTTTTAATCCTTGTCCAGAGGTGTAAGACAAATGCTGTACACTTGGTTGGTACCTACATTATGGAGTTCATCATCTATACTGGAGCCCAACTCTTGAGAAATTTTTTCACAAAACCCAACTGGAAGGAACAAATTCTGACTTCAGGTATGCAGGTACAAATCCAGAATAGCTTTATTTCTTTAATAGAACTTAATTGAATTCAGACAAGTGTAGGTAACATCAAATGGGATAAGAATTACAAAACAAAACAAAACAAAACAAAACTGTATATTGTTTTAATATAAATTCAAGCATAGATCTAAGTATGGAAAAAATGCTCAAATTAAAACTCAGTAACATCCTCATGATTAATATGCTCTCAGGGACTGTATCTGATCTTCCAAATGATTTCTTTTTAAAACATTTTGCTATTCAGTCAATATTTACTTTAAGCCTAACTAAATGCTTTCTATACCAAAATGATGTAAAATTAAGCAGTGCTAGGTATGCTGCCCTGATTTTCTGCGCATTTTGTGTTTGGAGTGCAGAAAAGTCAGTTATTACTGGCTTGGGGAATGGGAAGGCAATACTTCTATGCTATCCTGTAGAATTTCCTTGAAGAGCTTACAAAGAAATAACTGTCATGTTAGGGTTCAAGGGTAACTAATGAATGTGCAGCTCTTATAGGGATACTGTTGTATAAATCATAGCACTCTCTGAAATCCTGTGTCTACTTTAGATGCAAACAAGTCCTAAATCAAACTATACTGTTGGGGAGGGGAAGTTGAAGGTTTTTTAAATCTGTTTTTCCTAGTGGGCGGTTCTATATTTATGGTAGGTTTTTGGAAATAAGGCAGTTTTACCACTTTCTTGGTATTGTCAGTCATTTTCGTTTTTGCTTTGTGTGAAGTTTATATTCAGCAGCAGAGATAACAATGTTTTAAACAATAGGAAAATGTAGTAGAGCCTCAAAAATTAGTAGGGGACTGAAGGCTGGTAAGTACCAAAAAAGGTAATGAAATTTCAGGCTGACAGTGTTCATTTAATAAGTTTGATTTCTGAGTTTCTTGAATAAGGGACTGAGAGGGAAAATGGAGAACACATGGAGCATGTTCAAAAGCAAACAGAAAATAAGCCTTTCCTCCTAGAATTTATGTATACCCACATGTGGTTCTTTCAGCAGAATTATTGCAGGCCACTAGTGAATATAAACTGCAAGTAGCAAATAGGGCAAGACTAAGGCCAGGTACAGACGTTACACATTTGCCGGTATAAATAATTGGAATCTGGTCTATACCTGGAACAGAATGAATGTTTGGCACACAAAACCAGTCTATACCTGTAACAACAGAATTTTGTACACACAGACTAGTTAAAAATGGCTGAATCCTCCTGTCTAAAATTTGTTCCCTCCTCTTCCCCCTCCCACCGAAGAACAAATGATTGTTCTGTTTTCTACCACTCTAAACTATGCCATTTTGGCTAGGGACAGAAGTTACACATAAACCAGTTTAAGTCAGGGGGTTTCAGCCTTTTTAGATCAGTGTACCCCTGGCGGCCAGACATGGGTGGGGGGGGTGGAGAGGTGCATAGTTGGACATGGGGTGGGTGGGGTGGCGCATGGCTGAATGAGGAGCAGTGGGAGCTGCCACGTGCAAGCTTCCCCCGTGGCCAGCTGGGTGGGTGGTGGCTGCGCGGTAGCGCAGGATGGTACATGGCAGCACTCCATCCCTGCCCACCCACATGTACCCCCTAGCGCCTTCTCAAGTACCCCTGAGGGTACATGTACCCCCAGTTGAGAACCCCTGAATTTGTGATCAGAAACTGATTTAAACCTGTAACAGAACAGAAGTTCAGTGCACATAAACCAGTTTCAAAATGGCTGAAACTGGTTTAAGATAAACCTGGTTGAATGTAGTATCAGACTTAACTGATTTGGGTTGAACTGGTTTATGAAACTTCTGTCCCAGACCCCTTCCTGGTTCAAGTTAAATCAGAGTACCCCGGCATCCCAGCATGCTTTGCAGCCTTGGGTTGTGTTGTGCTGTTTAATTCAGCAGAGAAGGGTTGGGGGTGTGTGTGGAGGCAGGGACTGCTTACCCCTAGGCAAACCCCGGCTGGGGTCTGGGGCCAGGCATGGGGGTTAAACCGCATTTCCCCCAGTTAACCCCCCCTTCCCATGAGTACAGAGCTGTCCTGCCCTGCTAAACTTACTGCTGGCTGCAACTGTGGACTACAAATTCCAGAGGCACCTGGAAGCAGGAAGAGGAAGTGATGAGCAACCCTGCAGAGTCCTACTGCTGTGATTGTGGATTACAAATCTCCGACATCTCAGGAGCAGCAGGATGAGGAAGCAAACACACAGCCCATGCTGTCTACATGCCAGAGAGCTGTGCTGTAGTACCCCCTGGCTTCTGGCCTGAGCCGCTACAGGCATGTGGCTGCAGTCCCTGAATCAAAAGTAAATGTCTGTCCAGTTGTTTCTCAGTTTAATCTCTGCAGTTTACAAACCTGCAAATACTGAATTGATTTATCCTCAGGCTTTTTTGACTGTCTGTACTTAGCCTTATGGAAAACCACATAACATGGATTGGTTCCACTTTGGGCTTTTGAAGTGTCTGTGCCTAGCCTAAATTAGCTCTTCTTATCGTCAGAGCACTCTCCTTTGAGAAGCCGAAAGCCCATCTGTTCAGAAAATGCCGGGCCTGCACCACTATTAATTTGGTCTAGAAGTACCATAGTCCAGTCGGCTCAGATAGAGTGCTCGTGGCTGCTCCGACTTGATGTTATCACATAAATTCTTGGAAGCTGGAGGAAATGAACCCATGGTAATCCCAGTAGCTGTAGGCTAATCTTATGGGGCTCCAGCTTCCCCTTTACCCCACCCTAGCCACATCAGATGTACTTTGGCAGGAATGTTCCGTGTCTCAGCCTCTCCAATTTCTCTTGAGTTCCAGCCAGATTTAACCTTGGATGCAGGCTGGATATAAGGGACAACTGCATGAGACTCTCAATAATGGCTGGTTCTTGGGCATAACTTCAACCCAAAAACAAAAACGGAAAATAGTGGACTAACAAAACACAGTCTACAGTCTCCTGCCACTTTGGGAAACAACAGAGGGGCAGGCAGGGTCTGCAGGCTAATGAAGCCACGGGAGGAATAGCTCATCACTCAAAATGGGTACAACAACTAATTAACAATGCAAGGCAGAAAAGAAAGAAAAAGTAGTAAAAGAATGAAAAAATAATCAGCTTAAGTACTCATCAATTTTCCTTGCTTTTTTGTGTGGTGTAGGGCTGCTGTTTGGGATCATTGCAGTCCATTTGCCAGAAATCAGTAGCTGGACACTGGCTTCTCCTGAAGCCTCTCTAGGGATCCACCTTCCCTTCTTACGATGACTCCTTTGAACAATTCACTGGCCCCCTGGCCACTCTCTGCTTGCAGGCTTGTAACTCCTGCCTGCTGGAAGACTCTTTCACTCCCAGTTTCTGGATATGTGAGAGTGCACCACAATCTGGTGATGTCTTCCTTGCTCTGCCCCTTACCGGGGCCCTAAATAGCTCCGCTGAATGCCTCTCCTCCAATCCAGAGGGAGAGGCTGCTTTTAAAACACCACACCTCGGGCACAGCGCAACATGCCAGCTCCGGGATCGGGTGAGTGGGGGGTTGCTGCGCAGCCATTTCTGGCATCTTTTCTCGGTCCCCTGTGGCTCTCCCACACTCATCATAAAGACAGGAGGAAATTATCTGAACTTGGAGTATAGTTTAACTAACTCAAGCAAGTGCAGATGAGGTAATCAATTCAGGGTATGCATGAAGCAGCGTTTTACAACTTGTTTGTCATGAGAGTTTTGTAGGTAGAGAGTGCACTATATATGGCTATAAACATGCGTGGGTTGCAGAAATGGTTTGGCTGATCATTTCCTGAAGCAAGACAATGTTCATGGGAAACTGTTTTTTTGTTTGTTTGTTGTTTGTTTTTATCTTTCTCAAGGCCAAATCAGTTCCAAATTCAACTGGGCAAAGCCCAGTAGTCAAGCTCTAAAATTCAACTGAGCAGAACTCAGTTGTCAAATCTGCATGTCTCTACCACCAGGCAGGTATCCTCCCTTCAAGATCCATCGGTCTAGGGCTTTGGATATTCCCCAAATCCTGGCAGGTATCCTGTGTGCAAGCCCCATGCCCAGAAGCCTTGGGATTTAGATGCCCCTTGTTTTGCCTGATCTTGTTCCTTTAAGAAAAAGACATTCCGCTGAGCTAAAAGCTCTGGCCTGGAATACAGCCTTTTCCACTTCAGCCAGCTGTTTGTTTGCTTGGAATGCTGCTTTCTTAAAGGGGCAGCGACAGTGTAGTATAATTTTATTTTTCAGAATGGCTAATTACTGATAAATTAAATTAATTTTTTCTTAAATTGGTTCAGGGTACTTTATGCTCACTGGGTATAACATTTCAAACCATATTACATCCTGTCAATATGGTGGTACCTACCCATTTTCTTTTTTCTTTGTCAGAAAAATTAGCTAGGTCAGTTTCTTTCTCCCTTACCCTCTCCGGGGTGGGGGCTGCCTGAGAAATTTCAAGTTTTTTCCAAGTATTTATTTTAGAGAGACTGAATTGCTTCTTTGCCAGTCACCCGTACTACCTGGACAAATATTAGTGCTTATTTTCAGATATCCTGGAAGAAGGTTTTTAGGTCAAATCAGTTTATCAAACTTCTGTCCCAGACCCCTTCCTGGTTCAGAGTGCCCCAGCATGCCAGCATTTTGCAGCCCTGGGCTGGGCTGTGCTGTCTGTCCCACAGAGCTATCCCCACCCCTAAACTCCCTAGCTGGAGCAGTGAGGGCTGGTTCTCTGGCCGAATCAATGCCCCCCACCCCGCAGGCAAACCCCTGCTGGGGGCTGGGGTCAGGGAGTGGGGTTAAACTTCCCTTGCTCTGCCTTGCTTACTTGGTGCTGGCTGCATCTGTGGACTACAAATCCCAGAGGCACCTGAAAGCAGGAAGAGGAGCACCCCTGTAGAGTCCTGCTGCTGTGATTCTGGACTGCAAATCCCAGAGACTTCAGGGGCAGCAGGAAGAAGTGAATACACAGTCCATGCTGGCTATGTGCCGTAGAACTCTGCTCTAGCACCCCCCTCCCCCTCCAGCTTCTGTCTTGAGCCACTGATGGCATGTGTCTGCATTTCCTGAACCAAAATGCATATCTGTTCATTTGCTTATTGGTTCAATCTTTACAGCTTAGAATAACCTGCAAAGACTGAATCAATTCAGCCTTGGGCTTTTTGACTGTCTGTACTTAGCCTTAATGTCTAGACTTAGCCCTGGAGGGCAAAAAAACCAGCAAAAAAACTCTGGTGTAAATTAGATGTTGTGTATTTGCAGTTATTCACACTTGGACATGCATGTTTATAGGTAGCTGGCATCTTTGGGTACTTGCAAACATTACATTTAGATTGACCTAACCAAGGCTTAAATCACAGGGCTTAAATCACCCCAAAATTGCCCACTTCACTCAGAAAGTGAACCAACTTAAACTGAGAAAAGGTTAACCCAATATACCAAGGATTAGCTGGATCTTGCGAATGTCTGTACATGTTCACAGCACAACTCTGGGGCTGGGAGAGCCCATCCACTCACCCCAGCCCTTGGGCTGTACTATTTTAATCCACCTACCTCAGGGGTGGGCAAAATACAGCCCGTGGGCCAGATCCGGCCTATGAGGCCACTCTATCCGGCCCACAGGGCCCCTAAAAAATTTAGAAAATTAATATTTCTCTGCCCTTGGTTCCTGTCAAAAATGACAGGAACCAAAGGCAATAGGACCCAGGGGAAGCCTGGCGGGCTCCAACAACAGCAGCCCCCCCCCACCCGGAAGCCCCTGCTGGGGCTTCTGGCCTGGGAGCACGTGGCTGCCCCATGCTGGAACTACAGGTAAGTGGGGGAGGGGAGAAGGATGGGGGGGACCCTGGGCAGGGAAGGAGCGTGGGGTGGGGGGGAAGTGGCCCCTTCTCTGCCCCATGGCCATTGCCTCATGCTGCAGCCACTCGCAGCCTGCCTGGGACTTCCTGTGCCTGCCCCGGACAGTCCCATGTGGGCTGCAAGTGCCTGCAGCAGGGAATGCTGGCCATGGGGTGGGTGAGGGGCTGCTTTTCCCTGTGCTCAGCACCAGTTTCTTCCCTGCCAGCAAGCAGGAGCTTGGGGCTGTGCACTGCCCCCCGCCTGTACTGCAGATCTGGGGGACACTGGGTGCGAGTGGGTGGGGAGCCAGTGGGAGCATGGGGCCCACACTGGTGCCCCGGGGTCAGTGCTGGTGGGGCCCAGAGCAGGGTGGCAGGAGCACTGGGTCCCAGCCGGCAGGGGCTCTATGGAGCCGGGCCACGACCCCCCTCTCCCTGCTGGTGCAGCCCAGTCTAGCTCCATGGACCTCTGCCAACCTGCGCCCCGCTTTGGGCCCCACCGGTGGTGGCTCTGGGACATTGGTACCAAGACGGTGACCAGGGGGCAGGGCACCTGTCAAGGGGTGGAGCACCTCTCATGGGGCAGGGCTACCCATGCGGCCCTCAACAGCCTGCCAAAACTGGGTAAGCAACCTTCCACCCCTGACCTACCTGGACTGGGTTATCTTTAGCTCCCTAACTGTCTCCCCTGACTGTTCACCCTGCACTGCTCCTTCTGACCTGCCAGCCTCCTCTTGACCCCACCAAACTTCCTCTCTGCCTCTGTACCTGTGGATCTGTCAGCTCCCTTCTCTATACCCCACCCAATCCCAAATGATTTACCTTGGGCTACCCATTCTGCTCCCAGCAGCAGCACATGCCTGCAAGCGTTGCTCCTAGGTTAGGTTTAGGCAATTTAAAGCAAGCTACCTAAACCAGGTGATGTACCCTTTGTCTCATCTCTTTCATAGCTATGGAGAAGGGTTTTCTTTTCTGCTTCTTAGAATCAATTTGTGTAATATGACACTGGACTTTTCCAATCTGTTACTGAATAAGCCTGAACCTATTGGATTCTGATACCAGTGAAAAAGAAAATAAAAAACCTAACACTTCCTTACTTGATTAAAACTTTTTACTAGCTTGAAATATTTTATTATGGATTCATTTGTACACTTTGTCCACTTGGAAAACAAATGTTTTAATTAGTGGTTTGGAATAAGTTACATTACTCTCAAAAGCAAATTCTTCCTTTCTGCACATTTCCAAAAGACCCTATTTGGGAAGGAAAGAGTAAAATGAATTTCCAAAAAGAAAGTGCTTCAGGATACTGGGCAGCTTTCCACTAAACATCTGTGGAAATCTGGAAATAGTGTTATTTTAGTCCTTTAAAAGAAAATAATATTATAATTCTTTCTCTTTCTCTCAAACAAAAAAAACCGATAAAATTCTACAGAACGTATAGTTTAGTAGGAAAAACAGAACTTAGTTTTTCAAATAAGACCAAGAACATAATTTCTTTTAAATGTTGCTTTTGCTCTTGGGTGTATACAGTATGGAGGTTATTCTTAGCTATTATCTTCATATTGGAAATAGTTCTATTAATTTGTGGAATGTTTGATGATGGGACAATATTGATCATATTTGCTGCAAGCTAGGGAGGTTATCTCACTAGGTGTTGTTAGTGCTGACCTTCATCTTAGTATTTGAGCTCCGCCTAAAGAAAATAGTTTGGCAGTAGCGTAGTCGTGAGTGAACTGCAAGGTCACTCTTGTTCTTTTCCTCTTTTGAGTTATAGAAGCTCTGCTTCAGGAACAGTTTTGTGGGGGAGGATAATGAAAGACAGAAAAGGATCTGACAGTTGATAGTAATTGTCTATATAGTAAACAAAAGTTGAATATTCATGATGAGTATTTTTTGTTGCTACATCTAACACTTCATAAGATCCTGTTGCTGAATAAGAACCTGAACCAACTCTAATTAAAGTAAATAGCAAGTTTGTTGGTCACTTCAGTGGGAGCAAGCCTATTCTCTCTTGTAGCGGAGATCCTCGGGAAGCAGTTTTAAGGCTGCATTCCAATGGTGTAGCAAGCTTTTGTCACAGAGGTTAGCACTGAACTAGCAACAGGCTTGAGAAAAAGTACTAAAATCATTAAAAGTGTGGAGATCATCAAATGCTGACTCATGTATTTCATAATATCAAAGTGTGTAACCAGTTCCTAGGGGTATATAATCTTGCATTAGTTGAAGACTGCAGTGTGCTATCTAATTCTTCCCAGGGACAGAGTCCATGACTCCACCCAGCCCGATTGCTATAAATGGCAATTGGACTTAAGGGAATTAGAGCAAGCACTTTGCTAAGCAAGGGTGGGTTCATTTGCAGTTGACATTTTCAGTACTGAAAATAAATCATGCTTATGGAAAAATAACAATTCCCTTGTCTTCTGAATATTAGAAGAGACTCTTCCTCATGTAGTATGGAGAATGAACTCTGAACAAGACAGTTTTATGTTGTGAATATGATTAAGGTATAATCCACCCTGCCTAGATTCCAGTAGGATCCCTGCATCATTTGCTTTAGGGGGAAAAATTAAAAAGGACTGTATTGTAGTGAAAGGACTGGACTAGAACTCTGGAGAAGTAGGTTTGTCTCTGTTTTTTCCACAGAGTTCCTCAGAGAAGTTGAGCAATTTCAGTTAAACTAGAATTTTGGAG